GGGGGGGGGGGGGGGGCGGCGGGGGGGGGGGGAAAAATTTTTCGTTTTTTTTTTTTTTTTTTTTTTTATACCACCAACAGAACTCAATGTATCACAAGACTGGGATCCTCATCCCCTGCCCTAAACCCTGAGACCAGCTCAGTTTTAGGAAAGGACTGGTCATATAGAGTCTGAAAGCCCTAAGATGGAAAAATAGCATTATCTGAGGTCCCTCCAAGCAGGCTCTTACGGTCCTTGACCCACCAGGTTTGATGGGAGGAGGCTGACCATATTTTCCAAGGTATAGGCAGAGCAGGTGGACCTAAGTCTGCAGTGGACACCACCATCCTTCTCCCTACCCCCATACTTAGACTGTCTTCCTAGGTCAGATTAAAGGGGCCTGGGGCCAGAGCGAATCATGGGTCTTGATCCATTCAAACCCATGGCAAGTATATCAGTCAGAATTACAGAACTAATTTAATGATTACAAGGCATCTACCACGAACAACAGAGGATGAAAGGGAAGGGAAAATTTTAAAAAGTGTCTGATATCAGAGAGAGAATTGGGAAACAGCAGCAGGGGAAAGATTGATAATGCTTCAAGGTAACCTGTCCCTAAGGAGCAGGGCGGGAAGGGAGACCAGGAGCTTACCCAGAAGGTAGAATGTCCCAGTGGTGAGAAAGCATGCCTGTTGGCAGGGAGAGAGAATAGATGATAGCAAAAGGGGGGACCCACCCTTACTCCACTTCCAGCGTTCAGAAAGGATGAGATGGGGCAGGGGGCGGTGGCAGTGAGGAAGCAGAGAACAATGTAATAAATGAAGAGGCTGAGGAAAAGCAAGATGTGAGATTCTCATGTCAGGAAATCTGCAAGGAGAGGCAGGATTCAGTAAGGGCTAGCGGCGGTGGGGGAGGGAGGCAAAGGCTCCTAATATGAGGAGAGGGTGGCTTAGAGCAGAGGTCCAAAAGGTTGGCGACCACTGGCTTAGAGTAAGGGCTAGGTGAGGGGAGGGCAGCGCTGTCAGAAGGGCAGAGGTGAGGTACAGAAAAACATCCTGGACCCCACAAAAAGCTGTGTGATCCCAGGGAGGGTGAGAGGAGTTGATAACAACAGGAGGGGCCAACAGTAAAGAGGGCAGGCAGGCATAGCTTATAAGCACCAAGCAGGTAGGACTGAAGAGGAATGTGCGAAAAGAGTAAGGTCTCCATTCTCGGTAGGAAGGGAGCAGGGCGGGAATGGAATACTGTAATAGGGCCGAGGGCAGTAGGGGAGGGCCTGGCCTGGCCTGTAGCTTGAGGAAGGGAAGTGTCACTACAGGATGTGATGGTGGAAGGGTGTGAGAGGACCAGGAGGGTGTGAGGACAGCAGGCACAGCCCAGGTCTAGGAGAGGAAACCAAAGGGCCGCTGCCCTGCGGGACAGGGGACGTGCTGTGGTGGGGACTGGGCTGGGGGCTGGAGCGTCTGAGCAGATCTGCTAAAACCCTGTCCCTGGAACCTGACAGGGCAGCAGACGCCCTTCTCAAGGCAGTAGCAGCCAGCAGCGTTGCTGAGAAGGCTGTGGAGGCTGCTCGAATGGCCAAACTGATAGCCCAGGACCTGCAACCCATGTTAGAGGCCCCAGGTGAGGCATGGGCAGCTGCGGGTGGGGGTGGGCCCCCTGGGGAGGTGGACGGTGGATTGGGGGGAAGGGGAAGGGAATCCCCACAGGAGGCTGGGGATGGGAAAGCCAAGATAGGAGGGTTTGAGAGGACAGAGGGTGGCAGGGTAGGGAATAGAACTGAGAATTGATGAAACAGGGTAATACGGACAAGGAGTTGGGTCTTGCGATGATTGGCTGTAAGTTTGGGGATACCAAAGTCCTGGGAGGTGCCGGGTTGGAGGGATAAAGCGGTAGCTTTTGCAGTCCAAGGCAGGTTAGCCCCTCTGATTCTTAGCTGTCCCTGCCCCAGGCCGCAGACCCAGGCAGGACTCAGAAGGTTCCGACACAGAGCCCTTGGATGAGGACAGCCCTGGGGTGTACGAGAATGGACTGACCCCCTCAGAGGGCTCCCCTGAACTGCCCAGCAGTCCTGCCTCCTGCCGCCAACCCTGGCGACCCCCAGCCTGCCGGAACCCACTGCCTCCTGGAGGGGACCGGGGTCCCTTCTCCAGCCCTAAAACTTGGCCTGAGGAGTGGGGGGGCCCGGGTGAGCGGGCAGAGGAACTAGCTGGCTATGAGGCCGAGGATGAGGCTGGGATCCAGGGCCCAGGACCCCGAGACAGTTCCCCACTCCTTGGACGCTGCAGTGACAGTTCCGGAAGTCTTCGCGAGGAGGAGGGGGAAGATGAAGAGCCCCTGCCCCTCATAAGGACGCTAGGGGCCTCGGAGCCTGACCCCTTGGCCACACCAGTCCTGAGGGGCTCCTCGTCAAGGGGTCCTGAAGCTGGGTGCCTGATGGAAGAGCGTGAGGAGCCAGCTGCCACCGAGAGGCCAGCCCAGCCGGTGAGACAGACACCCTTCACCCCGCCTTGTGCCCTCTGAGTCTCACTCCTCTCTGCCCCTCTTCTCCGCAAAGCCTTGCCTCTCCTCCTTTCCAGTCCTCCCTCTGATCCCGGAGGAATTTGATTTGGATTCAGCTTTCTCTGTGCCTGCCCAGTCTTACACCATATCCTCCCTCAAAAATATTGAAAAACTTGAGAGCTGGCAGAAACCTTAGATACCTTCATGTCCAACTCCCTCTTTTGACAGAAAGGGAAACTGAGTTACAGAGCACTTAAAGTAACTAGCCCAAGGTTACCAATGAATAATTAACGGTAGAGCCAGAACGTCTTTCCCTGTTCTCCTTCCATATCATTTCCAGCTCCCAGTTTCCTACTCCACCCCCACCCCACCTCCACACTTTCTCTCTTTGGTGCCCAGAAATAAAAAAGGAAAAGTTTGTTCCCTCCCTACCCTAATTCTCCCTCCCTCTTCAGGGAAGAAGGGAAATAGGAAAGAAGGCAGAAAACTAGGAGGGGTGGAGTTTCCCCAGAACCCTCTGCTCTGATTGGACTCCAGGCCTTCTGTTTCCTAGCAACCACATCCTCATCCCTTTCTGCTTTACTGCAGTACCAGCTGCTGCTGCCAATGTATGCTACTAAGGCCAGACACCTTCTGCCTGGGCCATGTGACATGCTGGTGGGAGTAGAGTGGAAGGAGGAGGGAGGAAGGGTTATTCCTGACTTAAAGGAGCCAGAGGGAAGGCGAGGCCCTGGCTGGGAGAAGAGGAGTGTTTTGTAATCCAAGACAAAAGTTGGTGATCCCCATGCTCTGGTGTCTGGGATCCTTCTGCTTTGCCACCTTGGCCAGGGCAGGAAGGTGGGACCTGTCACTGGACCTGGTGCTCAGGGACTGAGCCTGCATTTTCCCTGTCTCTCTAGGGAGCTGCCAATCCCCTGGTGGTGGGAGCCGTGGCCCTCCTGGACCTCAGCCTGGCGTTCCTGTTCTCCCAGCTCCTCACCTAAGGCTCCTGCCTGGCCTAATTCTGGCTTCGGTTGCTGCCTCTTCACTCCTTTGATCTGCCTTTTTCTTTTTTCTTTTCCTCCTCCTGCTTGTGTTTTCTCCTGTCTTTTTTTTTTTTCTCTTCTCCCTTTCCTTTTCTGTTTCCCTTTGTTTTTGTCTCTTGCTTTTTCTTTCCTGCTCTCCTTTCAGATTCTCTCATTTATTCTGGATCTGTCTCTGTCTTCCTCGCTCCCTTTCCCACCCCAACTCTTTCTTTCTCTAGATTGTTTACATATGAAGGGCTTTTCTTGCTCAGAGTCGCTCTCTTCTCTGAGACACACAAATCTAAGTCAGACCATTGCCCCACACCCTGCCCATCTTTTCTTTAGACCTGAACTTGGATGAGGGTGGGGTTTTGGTGTCCTGAGGAGTCTCCTGGAAGGTGAGTGGAAAGGAGGAAGAAAAGGGAGGAGTGACTATACTGGTCAAGGCACTGGTCGAGCTCTGTGGCTCCCTAACCCAGGGCCCTGTTGCCCCTCTGAGGCCTAGTGAAAAAGCTGGAGGAGGTACAGTCACCATCTCTGACTTTGGAGGATCCTATCTCCCCTCCAAGCACTGAGATAGGTTCTTCCCTAATCCCATCCTTCCCTGAAAAAGAGATATGAAGGGAAATGAAGAGGGAAGACTCTTAGCATCTCCCACTTTCTTTCCTCAACTGCCAGCCCCTCATCCAACCCCCTAGGGTGGCATGCCACGTCAAGAGCAATGTGTAAAGGAAAGAAAGAGCCCAATGCAGCCAAGTCCACCCACTGACCTCTCCCACCCTTCTCTCTCCCCTAAGAATTTATTTGGTTGGTCTGGACTCACTTGTGGCCTTTGATTAAATTTCTAAGGGGCCTGAAGAAGACATTCCTACTGCAGAGGGTTAGAGGCACTTGAACGAGGACACCACTCCCCAGCTCTGGCGGTTGTGTTGGGGGAGGCAGTTTTGGGGAATGGAACCCGACCAGTTAGTTGACAGGAACTCACAGGGCAGCAAAAGTTGTGACAAGGTTCATCTCTAAGTCGGTTATATCTCTTCCCGCATCAGATCAGAATCTTGTGAAATGGGTAAACAGAAAAAGGGGATCACTGGAAGCCAATGTATCATACACTTTCCAGGCAGGGCAGAGGTGGGTGGAGAGCCCTGTTTGAGGTGGTGGCTGATCCCTGGTACTAACTTTTCCCCTGGGGGCAGGAAGCCCTAGGAAGAGGGGACTGTAAGGTCCCCAGGGGATCTTTCCTCCCTCCCCTGCATGAGGCAGAGGCAAGCTGCCTGCCAAACCCCTCCCTCAAGGAATGGCCTTGCCTGGGAATGCCCACCATACACACACACACACACACACACATACACACACACACACACACCCTCTTCTTTTTTTCTAGTCAAACTCTGTTTACTCCTTGGCCTGCCACCTTCCTTCCTCCCCTCTCAGCCTTTACTTCTGATTTCTATTTCATGGAATTTGGGATTGAAGTTAAACTACAACAGTGCCGCCAACACCAAGTCTTGCAGGAAAAAAAAAATACAAAGAAATTTAACAAAAAAAAAATATATTAATAAAAAAGTTCAAAAAAGGGGGGACTGTCATCTCCTTTGGGGTGCGATGTTTTCAAACCTAAGCTCTTCGAGGATCCCCGCGTGGAGCCCTCCTGGGAACCTCAGGCCTGCCAGCAGTCTCAAGGCTTCTCTGTCGTTGAGAGTTCTTCCCCTAAACTCCAAAGCCTGAGGTCAGAGTACCCAAGACGGCTCAGCAGGGCGGCCCCCGGGGGGCGGGGTCCCGTGATGGGGGCGGGGAGAGGGAAGGACCAGCCGGAGCACCAACCCCCGCCCGGCCCTGCACCAGGAAACGCCTGGGGGAGCGGAGCGCAGTGGAGACCGAAGCCAGGTGAGGCTGGCGGCTGGTGCTGGGGGAGCTGGACCCTGAGATGTGAGCGTTGGGAGGGGTCCCGCGGAAGAAACAGCGCGGAGCCCTGCAAGGAAAGGCATGGCTGAGCTAGGGATGGGGAGCCAGGTGGGGCGGAGGGGGGCAAATAGGCGGGGCTCCGCCGCATGCTCAGTAGGAGCGGGTGCAGGGCGGGGCGGGGACGCATGCGTAGTGGGGGTCGCCTCCGGCGGGGAGGAGGGGGCGGGGTCTGGAGACTCACGTGGGGAAAGGTGACTGCAGGCTCGGTGTCCGAGCAGGTGTGGGACCCCGGCCTTCGGGATCGGGGCACCGGGCAGGCCTGGGCAGAAAGGCCCGGTGCGCCCGGCCAGAGAGGGTGAAAGCCCTCTCCATCCCCGGGCTCTGCTCCCCCCGCGCCACCCCCAGGATGGTGATGTCTTCGCTGAAGCTCCAAGATCTCATCGAGGAGATTCGAGGGGCCAAGACCCAGGCCCAGGAGCGGGAAGTGATCCAAAAGGAGTGTGCCCACATCCGGGCCTCCTTCCGCGACGGGGACCCGCTGCATCGGCACCGCCAGCTGGCCAAACTGCTCTATGTCCACATGCTGGGCTACCCCGCCCACTTTGGACAGGTACTGCTCAGGGATGCCTTCCTTCTGAGTTTGGTGAGGGAGGCTGCTGGGATAGGGTCCTGGACCCGCTCACCTGTTTGTGCTGCCCCTATTTTCTTAATTCTACAATGTTCCAAGCCCTCACAGCATGCAGCACAGACCTCCTTCCCCATTACAGCCCCCATTGGTCATCAGGTGGACTGAACCCTTCATTCTCTGGCCAACCCCATCCAGCGCACCTCCTCCCCTCTCCCATTCTCCTCAACTTCCTTTTCTTGAAACTACCCACCAGCTCTGAATTTCCTAAGCCTCTCCTTTTGCTGAAGGGAGAGTGACGGGATATGGTGCCCTGAGAAGTTAACCTGGTGTTAAGGAGGAAGATAGAAAAGGGATGTTGGTGCCTCCAGTTTCACTCCTGTCCCTTCCTGGTCTGCCTCTTTCCCTATAGATGGAGTGCCTGAAACTGATCGCCTCCCCCAGGTTCATAGACAAGAGGGTGGGCTACCTGGGGGCCATGCTTCTACTGGATGAGAGGCAGGATGCCCACCTGCTCATTACCAACAGCATCAAGAAGTGAGAGCTTCTGGGAAGCACTCGGAATCGGGGAGATGGGAGAGGGGAACCGGGAACTCCCAGGGGGCTGCCTGCTGCAGGTACTGGAAGGACTAGAGGCTTGACTGACGTCCTCCCAAAACTCTGCAGCGACCTGAACCAGGGTATTCAGGCCGTACAAGGCCTGGCCCTGTGCACCCTGAGCACCATGGGCTCTGCTGAGATGTGCCGGGACCTGGCCACTGAGGTGGAGAAACTGCTCCTGGAGCGAAGCCCCTATGTGCGTAAGAAGGTGAGACGGCGGGACTCTAGATACTTGTCCCTCCAGAAACGGTCCTGTTTGCCATACGGCAGAGGCGGGGAGCCCATCCTGGCAGACCCCTGCCCTCTCTGAGCCCCCTGACCTCTGCAGGCTGTTCTGACTGCAGTGCACATGATCCGAAAAGTCCCTGAGCTCTCTGACACCTTCCTCCCGGTTTGTGCCAAACTGCTTCACGAACGTCACCACGGTAAGACCACGGGGCTCCCCGTCCCCTCCTCAGCTCTGGCTGTGGCCAAAGGTAGAAAGTGGGACCGGAACCTTAGCTCATTGGAGAAGGGTAGTATGTGCACACACACAGTAGACTCTCCTGTGCCCCTGGCCCACCATTCACTTCCCCTGCCCTGACACCAGGCGTCCTGCTGGGCACCATCACGCTGATCACAGAGCTCTGCGAACGAAGCCCTGCAGCCCTCAAGCACTTTCGAAAGGTGGGCTGGTGAAGGGACAGGCCCTGGGCCAGGAAAAGAGGGCAGTGGGGTTGGAATGGGGCTGATGGTGGAGAAGGTTAGGAAGACTGCCCAGATAAGGCTGTGCCCTCCCTCCAGGTGGTGCCCCAGCTGGTACAGATCCTCCGGACTCTGGTGACGACGGGATTCTCCACAGAACACAGCATATCTGGAGTCAGTGACCCCTTCCTACAGGTGGGCTGAGCTTCTCTGCTGTAGCCCTGGAACAGAGAGCTTGGCAGTAAGCCCATGGCCAGTGCTCACCTCCCGGAGAACACTTGGGTTCAGTTAGTGTCTTGGGCAGGGTAGGGTGGCAGGCACAGGACTGCCCAGGTCACCCGAGGACCAGTGCAGGGAAGGGATGCCTAAAGGTCAGAAAATCCAGTTTACTGACAATAAAAAAAACAGCCTGTCCCCAAATCCCCTGGCCTCACCTATCTCTGGGTCCCCTCCCAGGGCCTAAGGGACCTGTGGCGCAGAGGCAGGGGGACAGGGAGGCTCTAGGAACCCAGCCAGACCCTCCCAATGCTCTCCTCGGTGTCAGACTTTCCTCCTCAGCCCCTTCACTCCTTACCCTAAGAACCTCTTCACCTCTCCACCTTTACCCCAAACACAGGTCCAGATACTTCGTCTGCTCCGGATTCTGGGCCGGAACCACGAGGAGAGCAGTGAGAGCATGAATGACTTGCTGGCCCAGGTGGGGGACTGGGGAGGGGTGCCGGTTAAGTGTGTTGCTCTGTGATCCCACCTGGGCAGCTCTCACATGGTAACTCCCCGTGAGGCGGCCATATAATCAGGTCTCCGTTTCCCTCCAGACTGTGAGATCCGTGAGGGACACAGTCTGCCTCAGTATGGTAGCCCCTGGCACACAGTGTGTGGGGGCTTAGGGAACTTTGTTAGCTGGTTGAGGACTGAATGACATTGTGGAGACCTTCCAGAGACTTGAGGAGAGAACAGGGCCCATTTTACATGCATCTTCTGTCCCATCCATTCAGGTGGCCACTAATACAGACACCAGCCGAAATGCAGGCAGCGCGGTCCTGTTTGAGACTGTGCTCACCATCGTGGACATCCGCTCTGCAGCTGGCCTGCGGGTACCATCTCATACACCTCTCCCACTGTGGCCCCACCCACCCACCCCAGCTGGGAAGACAGGTCCTGTGGCAGGCAGTCCCCACTCCTGAATGAGCAGATTGCTCCTTCCCTAATTGTCCCTGACCTCTGCCTCCCATAGGTTCTAGCTGTCAACATTCTAGGCCGCTTCCTGCTCAACAGTGACAAGAATATTAGGTAAAAATGCCATGTGTCTGGCTGGGTTGTGCCACTGAACCCTGGCCCTCTGCCCTGCTCCTCCCAGAGTCTCCCAATTCATTCTTATCCCTGTACCCAGGGCAGAATGGTGCGGGGAGGAGGGCTGCTGGCCACGGCGTGATGGGGCCTCTCCCATTCTATTCAGATACGTAGCCCTGACATCGTTGCTGCGACTGGTGCAGTCTGATCACAGCGCTGTGCAGCGACACCGGCCCACTGTGGTGGAATGTCTTCGGGAACCTGACGCCTCTCTCAGCCGGTGAGCAAGACAGAAGGCCCAGCTTCTGGTGGCCAAGAGATGGACCGGCTCAGAGCAGCTGGACTAAGGGGACTAAGACAGGTGCACGGGGAAGAGGAGGGCCTAAGTTACCTCGTATGGACACATCTTTCTCCTGGCAGGCGGGCCCTGGAACTGAGCCTGGCTCTGGTGAACAGCTCCAACGTGCGAGCCATGACACAAGAGCTTCAGGGCTTCCTGGAGTCCTGCCCCCTTGATCTGCGGGCAGACTGTGCCTCAGGAATCCTGCTGGCTGCAGAGAGGTGAGGTGACAGGTCCCCAGGAGGCAGAGAGGGTGGAATCTGGGGAGGGTCAGTGCTAGGACTGAAATGCCCTATGTCCCCTAGGTTCGCCCCAACCAAGCGATGGCACATAGACACCATCCTGCGAGTGCTGACAATGGTGAGGCTGGGGCTGGTCTGAGAGAACCGGGCAGGAGTGGGCAGGGCTCGCCACACTGACTTGGCCGTGTACCCTACTCCAGGCGGGCTCACATGTCCGGGATGATGCGGTGGCCAACCTGACCCAGCTGATTGGTGGGGCCCAGGAGCTACACGCCTACTCTGTGCGCCGCCTCTACAGTGCCCTGGCACAGGACATCTCCCAGGTAATGTCTCCACCACCCAGACTCCAGGCTGCCCAACCCTCCCAGCCCTTCCCGAGCCAGCGACTCCTGACACCCGGTTCCCAATGGGTTTTCCCTCAAAGTCATACCTTTCTTCTTAGTGGAGGACATCCTCAAGGGCAGAGCCCTGTTTTTAGTAAGAACATCTGGACCTCTGGTTCTGGCACCTACTGGCTGTGTAACCAGATGACGAATGTAACTTGCTTTATGCTTGGCACACTCAGCTTTCTACCCTGCCCACCTCCCGGAACTGTCTTGCGGATCAAATGAGATCAATAAAAGCTCTTTCTGCATGTATTTGGGTTTTTTTTATTACTTAAATGCTGAGTGAATTAATGGGTGCCAGTCAGTATCTGTAGCCCTCTTTCCATATATTAAGTAGGGACCCTCACTTCATCCTTGCTGCACCCTTTGTGGTTAGACCATGTAGTTCTGATACTTGGCCACCAGAGGGCAGAGGAAGCCCAGGAACCAGGACAGTGGGGGAACGAACTAACATAACTTCCTTGTGCCGAGGCCCCTCCTTTCCTTTACCCACCCCTCCAAACCTAAAGGGATGTCACAGGGTTTGGAAGTGAGGGACACTGGCCCAGCATGTTTCTTATCCTACACAGCAACCGCTGGTGCAAGTGGCAGCCTGGTGCATTGGGGAATACGGGGACCTTCTGCTGGAGGGGAGCTGTGAGGAAACTGAGCCACTTCAGGTGAGACCTGCATTGAGGGTACACTGAGGAGGGACTTGTCGGGGAAGGCAGGGCTGGCCCAGGGTCACTATCTATGCCTCACCCCCGACCCCCCCCACCCCCGCCTTGCAAAGGTGGAAGAAGAAGAAGTGCTGGCATTACTGGAAAGGGTGCTGCAGTCCCATATGTCCCTGCCAGCCACCCGAGGATACGCCCTCACAGCCCTCATGAAGCTTAGCACCCGGCTTCGTGGGGACAACAAGTAAGAAGGGGTCCCAGCCCCTCCCAGAGGCCCTCTTCTTGGTGCCTCCAGTGACAATGTCCCTTCACTGTGCCCACCAGTTTCTGAGTTCCTCTCCAGGCATACCCCCCCCCCATTACCCCCAATTCTTAGGTTCTTCCTTTTGAGCCAAGTATCATGGGCATCGCCCTGCTCTGTGGGGCCTCTCCCTTCCCTGCCACATCCTGGAGTTGAAGGGCAAGGCAGACTGCCATTCCCACTCACACACCACCCTCTGGCCCAGCCGCATCCGCCAGGTGGTGTCCATCTACGGAAGCTGCCTCGACGTGGAGCTGCAGCAGCGGGCTGTGGAGTACAACACACTCTTCCGGAAGTACGACCACATGAGGTGCGCTGGCAGTCTGCCACAGCATAGAACCCCAATTCCTGCCCTCTCCCCAAATGCCCTCTCCCCAAAGTCCCTTTCTGGGTGCAGGGGTCACAACCTCACTTGTGCCCTCCTCATCACAGTCAGAGCCTCCCACCCACAGCTCACTGAAGCTAAGCTGCTTCCAACCCTCCTTGCTCATCTGGAAACCATCAGTCGTGTGCCACCCTGGGAAGTCAGAGGGGCACTTCCAACCCACCATGTGCCCAGGGCTCCATGTTCTTACTCCTCCTGCCACATGCCTCTTGCAAAAAGTGCAGGGTCCACCCAGAGGGACACACCTGCGTTCCATCTCTCAGGGCGGCCATTTTAGAAAAGATGCCCCTTGTGGACCGAGGTGGCCCGCAGGCTGATGAGGAAGTAAAGGAGAGCAAAGAAGCAACCCACCTTTTGGAACCAGCCCCTGTCCCCACAGAGCCCCAGGTAAGGAGGCGGAGGCCCCAGGGGGAAGAGGACTTGGTGGGGCTTCCATGCCTAGCCCTGATCCTTCTGCCCTTTCCCCACAGGCCTCAAAGCTCTTGGATCTGTTAGACCTCCTGGATGGACCTTCTGAGGATTCCCAGCAGCCTCCCCCTGTGGATCCCTCCCCTGAAGGCACTTTAATACACCTGCTCGACCTTCCCTGTGCTCCCCTAGCCCCAGGTCAGTAAAAGGGAGATGTCTTGCGGGGGAAGGTGTAGAAATGTGTTTCTTCTCTTTAGCCAAGCACTGAGGTTCAGGTACCCTCTTCCCTGCTGTGTGCCCCCCATAGCACCCCCCATCTTAGTAGGTAAAAGGGTTCTGGCATATACTCCCTTCCTAGATACCCTTCAATGTCTTCCCTTTGTTCCAGATGTCTTATCCTGGCCTGAAGACCCTGTTCCCTCCCTGGCCATCTCATATACTTTCCTACTACCCACTCCACTGACCACTCCTAGCTCCTCAGACCCTCTCACCTCAAGCCCTTGGCAATTCATGTTCTTTTTACATGGAATGTTCTTTCCCTAGCACATCAAATGACTAGCTTATTCTTACTCTTCAAGCCTCAGCTAAAATGTCAGGTGCTTCCCCTACCACTCCTATCTTAGTTCCTCCCAGTTATCCTGGCCTAGTTTATTTCCTTTAGCACCAATTATAGGTTGTGATTATCTTGCTTTTCTTGTTTATTCTCTCCTCCAACTAGACTGTCGGCTCCAACTTCTTGCCCACTTTGTCACTAGCATCTCAAGCAGTGCCCTGCACCCAGTGGATGCTCACTTAAGTTTTGTTGAATGAAAGAATGAATGAACTCATCTTTGGTCCATACAGTAAGCTGCTTCTCTCTTCCTTCTCTAGCTCCCATCCCAAACCTCAAAGTGTTTGAGCGGGAAGGACTACAGCTGAATCTGTCTTTTGTTAGACCGCCTGGAACCCCTACTTTGCTCTTAATCACTGCCACTGCTACCAACGCCTCAGAGGGTGATGTCACCCACTTCATCTGCCAGGCCGCTGTGCCCAAGGTTTGTAGAAGACCAGGATTCACAGTTGGCTTGGACACTCCCGGAGAAAAGGCCAATAAGCAGAGGAGGTGGATGGGAAAGAGAATGAGATGAGAAGGGAGTGCCATGCAGAGACGATCACTTGGGGAGTTATGGGAAGAGGGTTTGAAACTATTGGGTGTGCAGGGCTTGCCTGAACCTGCCCAATCTCCTATGTTCAGAGTTTCCAGCTGCAGCTACAGGCCCCCAGTGGGGACACAGTTCCAGCTCAGGGTGGCCTTCCAGTGACCCAGGTCCTCCGAATCCTCAATCCTAACAAGGTGAGCTCCAGGAGCCTCCTGTGAATAAGACCCAGGGATGGGAGAAGCCATCTGTGCTAACCCTGGTTTCCACTCTCCTATTCCTAGGCCCCCTTGCGGTTAAAGCTGCGCCTCACCTACAACCACTATGGCCGGTCAGTGCAGGAGATCTTTGAGGTGAACAACTTGCCTGTGGAGGCATGGCAGTAACTCAGCCTCCACTCGGCCTGAAATCCTCTTGGGTCCCAAACCCCTGGGTTCCCAGGTTCTTGGAGCCTACGTCTGAGGACTACCAGCAGGTGGCGCTCTGGTCCTGTGCTTGCCATTGCAAAAACTGGAGGGGGCCCACCCTCTCCCCCACAAATAATGAAAGTCCAATAAAGCCTGAGGGGGTGAGTTATATTTGTATATATTTGAGGTAGAAAATATATGAATAACAGCAAGGAACAAGTCTTAACAGGAAGTCTGTGTCTTCCCTTGGTCTCAGGAATCTGTTTCAACAAAGAAGGGTTTTCTTTCTACCCCTCTCTGGGCTGGGGAACAAATCTGACCCCACAGGAGGCACTTTACCATGTGGGCCAGAGCGGGGCACAGTGGCAAAATCAAACCAGAATGTCTAGGTTTCCAATAGGAATTCCCACCCATATCCCCAACCTGCTGCTATTCCCCACACCCCAAGGCAGGGAAATCCCTCCTGCCTCCCCTCATCTCTAACTCAGCTGTAAGGTGGTTTAGGAGCCGCTGGCAGAATCAATGGCATCGACCAAGGGAAGGGGGGTGGCAAGGGATTTTCCTGTGCTTAACTACTGATCACGGCTAAGTGGAAATCCTATAAACACGAGCGGAAATCAATGGAGGCTGCTTAGCGGCCAGGGGAGAGGGGCGGCCCACAGATTGCATCTGACGGATGAGGGAGAGGAGGCGGCCTGGGAGGGCTCCACAAGGATAGCTGAGGGTAGGGTGAAGGAACAGGCAGAGCTGGTGAGAGAGGAGTCACGGTGGAAAGGGAAGCCAGGAGAACAGGCACAGTGAGGAAAGGAATGAACCCCATTAGGCTCAGAGTTCTCGTCTCTTGTTGAGGAAGTGACACCTTAGCCCAGGCTACTGTCAGCATCATTAGTCCCCTCGGGCTTCTCTCTGGAGCTGTGTACTTCTAGCAGGCGCTGGTAGTCCTGAGGCCGGAAACGCTGTAGGTACACGATCAGCTTGGCAGGTGCCCTCTCCTGTGCCAACACACCTATAGGCAAAAGGAGAATAAGAGAACCAGAAAGAGCTACAAATGCTTTGAGTCTACTCCCTGCCCACAGAGCCGGACCCCAACGTTGTTTCCAAGGCAGCCCTGGGATTAGGAATGCCAGCCATCCAACCAGCTTGTGTAACCCACAGCCCACTCCCTCATTTTGGAAGTGGGGCCTAAAAGGGCCACTTCTGGCAGGAGTGGGACTGGGAGACCAAGCATGAGCTCCCTCCTCCAGCAGGGAGAAATGGGCAAGAGGCACGTAGGCACCATGGAGACAGAGGGTGCCCGAGCACCGACTTATTTCAGTATATTGCTCCTGTCCCCCAACTAAGATTAAAGTCCACCTAGACAGGCCAAAGCTCATTGATTTGGTAATGAGGCACATGTAGAGATACACACAGAGAAACTGAGGGGTGTAGAAAGAAAAGGAGAGGCCTAGCCAGTGTGGCTGGAGCATTGTCAGTGCACTGAAGGGTCACAGGTTCAATTCTGATCAGGGCACATATCCAGGTTGCAGGTTCAATGCCCGGTTGGGGTGCATATGGGAGGCAACTGGTCAGTGTTTCTCCCTCACCCTCTCCCTCTCTCTCTAAAATTTAAAGAGAGAGAGAGAAAGAGAGAGAGGAGCAGCTATAGCCATGGGTTGGGACTCACATAGAATTTTAGCCTCTATGTGGTGGAGCATGATAAGCCAATGTCTTATTGGGAGTGCCTGCCAGCATACTGGGCACATAACTAGGAACTCAGTGTATGTTTGCTGAGGTGGTGAGAACAGCTTTCAAGGGCTGTAAGGCCTCATGGGATGCACAACCCCATACCTGTGTGGATGAACTGTCTACAAGGGCACTAAGCTTAGGAACAGGAAAAACAAAAGCCTGCCAGTGCTTGCCCCAGTGGTCTCTCATAAATGCATTATTGCTTTGTACTGAAAGCTAACAGGACAAATTAAATGAAGATCTAGGTAGCTGTAAAAACGAGGGGGTAGGAGTTGGGAGAGGGGAGGGCGGATTGGAGGACTGAAGCAGAGAACTGACAAATGGAACTGAATGCTAGAGGTATGCGAACTAAATCAGAATGACTGGAATAGATTAGAGACACAGAATTAAATCAAGGTTAGAGCACTACTGCAAAAGAGGAAAGGGGATTGGAGAGAAACCTAAGAAAACTCAGTCTTCTAGAAAGTTGCTAAAACAATTCCCATTAGAGAAATAACGCCAAAACCCTCCCTGCTACCTGGCCTGATGGGTACACCCGGAAGAGGAACAGGGAAAGCACAGAGGGTCTGTCTCCCTCACCAAGCATGCTGCCGAGCTTGTTGATCTTCTCTAGGGCAGCGGGGACTTCGGCCTCCTCCCGCACCAGGGCCTCTATTTCACCCACAGCATAGCCAAAGTCGGCTGTGTCCAGGTCCACCCTGAGCGGAGGCTCCTCTTGATCAGCTCTGGAAAGCACCAGTTTCCAGGCACTTCGATTAGTCACAAAACTAGCTACTTCCTGCAGTCCCAGTGGGCCCAGCACAGCAGCCACACCCTCAGCCCCCGGGACTTCAGCCCCCAGCACCTTATAGAGCTGGGCCACAATTGCAGGCTCAGCTGTGAGTTCCAGGTACTCAGTGTGGGGTCCAGAGACACCTGCTGTACCGGGACATTTGAGCTCCCAACCACTATTTTCTCGCTGTCGCAGCCAGTAGTCAGTCCGCATGAGGTTCAGCTCAGGGGTGTCGTAGTAGCTGTCTCGGAAGGTGACCCGGTGCTCCAGGGTGCCCCCCAACTCCTGCAGCCGTTCTTCTGTTTCCGGCCCAGGAACAAACTTTCGCTCCACCTCAATCAATCCCTGGGCCATACTACCTGCAATCAGTCAATCAAAAATCATCTGCTGACCTCCCAAGGGTGCTCAGCCTTGCAGCGTGACAGCTCAGCAAAGACACCCCCCCCACACACACACACACACACATACACACACACCACCACCACCACCACCTTGGAAGAACTTATGAGACACAAACACTGTCACGGAATCTGCTGGTGCTGCAGCCCTTTCCCCCCGCCCCCCGTCTGTCTGATGTTTTAAGACTGTGACAGTGACAGGTCTCCAGTAAGATCCCTTGCACCGCTGAAGATGTCCTCAATCCAAGGGGCTCCCTCGAAAGCAGGCCGCATGGCCGGTGTCCTCTCAGCGCTCCCCACACACCTCGTTACCCTGCAGGCCGGGGGCTCACTGCCCGGGCGACCCCGCCGACCAGCCCTCCCCAACCACAGCGCGGTCCAGAGGAGCCTCGGGTGTCGCCTCGAAGCCCGAAGGTCTCCCTCTCGCGGGACCTGGAGGTGGGGACGAGAGCCACGCCGCGAGGGATGCCGGGAACAGTCCCTGGCCCTCGACCTCGGCCCGGCTCTGCACACCGGACCAGTCCCAGCGCGAGCGGCCATGTTAGGCCGAAGTAGTAGTGCCGCGGCAGGCCGGCCCGAGAGGCCTGCTGGGCTTAAAAGGCCGGAACCTCCGTGAGAAGGGAACGGGGCCGGCTCCCTGTGCTCTGCTCTTCACCCCGACTTTTCCCGGGTCCGGGAACGGCCCGGTCCGCGCTTCAGGAGCCTGGCATCCTGGGGCCGGGATGCATGATGGGAGATGTAGTTCCAAACGGAGACTTTGCACCACCACCACCGTCACATCGCTATGGTGGCTGCGAATAGTGCCAAGGAGACTATCTAAAGTTGAGCTGGGGCTGTGGGGAGAGTAGGGTGGGAGGAGCTGAGGCCCCAGTCTGGTCTCCAAACCCCTCCTCCATAAGCAGATGGGCCTGGAATACAAGCCACTCATTGGGACACTGTCCAGCAGATATGTTCTTGACTATTAGGGGGCACTAAATGCAGGCCACTGGCAATGGGCTGATAAAAGCATAACTAAGAACCCTAGCTGGTTTGGCTCAGTGGCTAGAGCGTCAGTCTGTGGACGGAAGGGTCCTGGGTTCGATTCTGGTCAAGGGCACATGCCTGGGTGTTGGGCTCAATGTGTGTGGATTCTCGCTAATCATTGATGTTTCTATCTCTCCCCCTCTCCCTTCCTCTCTGAAATAAAAATTTACTTATTTATTTAAAAGCATAACTAAGACAAGCTTAGCTATTCTGGGGTTTTTTCATGCCTCGGCATGAATGTCCAGGGTAAGGGTGGGTGGGAAACTTTCTGTCTGAGGAGGAAGTGATATTTTGGATGGAAATTAAAGATGTGATGGGATTTCAACAGTTGGAGACTCAGATGGAGACAGGAACAGCCTGAGCAAAGACCCAAAAGCTGGAAAGCACCTGGCCAGTGTGGAAGGAGATGAAGCTAGAAGTAAGTTGTGGAGCAGGTTGGCAAAGGCCTTGAGTGCCAGGCTGAGGAGTATGTCACTGAGTGTCCAATGGACACTGAGCAGGTTTTGTCAGGAGTGGGAGAATACTCATGGTCATTTAAAATACAGGAAGACATGGGGGTGGCCCTTTGACTGCTTTGGGAAATAAAATAAAGACCCTCCTGCTCCCTCGTCCCTCTGAGGACTGTGGTTCCCTGGAGGAGTCACTGCACGCCGGACCCTCTGGACGTGGTGGCTTGTGAGGAACAGTGGCTCTTACCAACTCCTGGTTCCCTTCTATGATTGGCGAGAAGCGCTAGGTTCTCAACACGGTCCTCTCCCAGCATGCTGCTGAAACACACAGGAACCGTGGTGAGCACGGGGAGGACACTGGATTACAAACGTGGTGTGTTGATGTGGGATGTCTTGGATGCATCCACCCCCCAGCCCACCTGCCATGACAAGTACCAGTGGGCAGGGAGGGGGCACCCCCAGCCACTAACTCCTCTCACTGGCCTGCTTTTCATCTGTCCTTTGCTTTTCAGTTTTGTTGTCGAGGGGAAGAAGATCTAATCTCTTCCCTGAATTATGAAACCCAACCCCAGTGGCCAGAGGCAGCTTAACGGACAGGAAAGACCAGATTTGGGAGCCAGATAGACCTGGGGTAAACCCCCAGCTTCACTTTTTTTCTTTTTTGTTAATTCTCACTCAAGGATATTCTTTCCATTGACTTTTAGGGAGGGTGGAAGGGAGGGAAGGGGGAGAGGGAAGAGAGAAAGAGGGAGGGAGGGAAACCCAACCCCAGTGGCCAGAGGCAGCTTAACGGACAGGAAAGACCAGATTTGGGAGCCAGATAGACCTGGGGTAAACCCCCAGCTTCACTTTTTTTCTTTTTTGTTAATTCTCACTCAAGGATATTCTTTCCATTGACTTTTAGGGAGGGTGGAAGGGAGGGAAGGGGGAGAGGGAAGAGAGAAAGAGGGAGGGAGGGGGAGAGAGAGAGAGAGAGAGAGAGAGAGAGAGATTTTAAACAGAATATATTTTTAGCCTCACTATGCCGGGGTCCAGCCCCGGGGGTCCAGGGATTCCCAAAGGTGTGGACGGAGTCGGCGAAGAATGTTTTACACGGAGACAGCGTTCAGAACTCTCTAGCTCTCTTTAGTCTCCATGGATCTTCCTGTGCCTGGCTGAGGCCACAGAGAAAGATCCCGAGGCAAACTGAGCCTTTATTTTTATAGTCAGAGGTAAACAAGGTAGTGGTTACCAAAGTTACACTGTTTTTGTGAGTCTCACTTGTTTTTGTTCTTGTTCTTGCTGCACTTCCCTCAGCCCATTAGCTTCCCAGGTAAGATCTAGGGAGCGTCATAAGGTCA